GCAGAAATACAGACTTTTAGTGTGGAGTGGGATAAACCACGTTGAGAAAGATATTGATATTAAGTTTTTTGGAGGTGGCAAAAGAAGAGGATGATTTCCATTTTTGATTATAGAAAATCTGAGTTGACCGTTCAGCTGTAGCCGATGTCTTGGAACGTTTGGCTGGAGGTTGCCCGACGTCTACAGATCTATGTTTCAAAGCAGGTTTCAAAGCAGGTTTGGAAGGTTTTGCAACCTGATGGTAGGTTGCTGCTGTTGACAGTCAGAGATGATGTCGATGTTGAGGAGGAGAGGGGAAAATTGAAGGAGAGCATGGATAGGCCACCACGTATCGCACACGCTTGGGCTTATCATAATAAGCCAGTCCTTCAATATATACCTCATATTGTACGGGATATGGATCTCTTCGGTGGTACCAAGAAGGTTCTCAGACGTAGACGTATGCTCTGTGAGGCGGGTCGTAGTCCTCGGGAGAGAGATGTCTTTTCTTAGCTTTGCGCTTACGAGGGGGTGACCTTGGAGGAGATTCAAGTTCAGACATCTATGGAGACATCCCCCACCCTGAAAATGAGTTGGAAGAGTTGGCTGCGGTGGATCCAGATGGACCGACTGGGGAGACTTCTTTGATTTTTTTTGTTTTGCCTTTCTTCGATTTAGAGACGTCCTTCTGCTTGGAGGACTTCGACGCCGAGGTCAGCTTCGATTTCGGTTGCTTCAGTTGTTCTTTGGGTCTCGGAGATGGGGTTGCCGGGCTCGGGATCGAGCGCTGTTCCCATCTGGGAGCCTGAGGGGAGCCTGATTCCATCGTGGGAGGCGGAGGGCAGAGAGCTTTCTCCCAAAGGTGAGATCTTAACCTTTGTAATCTTAATTTGAGGGCTGTAGTGATGGTACTGATACCCATAGTCATCTTGAGTTGGGTATCGAGACGGTTCATGATAATAGTAATTTTCCCTGCGTGGAGGGGCATATTGGACTGGAGAAAGGTGTCATCTCATCGCCCGGCACTTGCAGGGAGACTGGTGAGATGATTCTGAACCAGAGACCTGAATAGGTATCGCCTGCCGTGATGATCTAGGTCTTGAATGGGCCGAGGCCGGGCTGGAATGAACATCAGCCAGAGAGAGGCCAGTACTTGGCGAAAGGCTGGTGGTGGAAGCTGCAGCCTGAGCCGGTGTTAAAGCTGGGTAGTCTCTATCCAAAATTGAGCCAGGGGTGTCTCTAGATAACTCCTCAAGGATCAGTGATGGAGGCCCCGGTTGAAGTGAATCTATTTGAGCCAATTTTGTAGGTTTGGTCTTATTTTTCTTTTTCCTAGACGAGCCATCAGGACGAATTGGAGCTTTTGACATGGGCGTCGAGCTTGATTTCGAAGCAGACTTGAAAAGTCTTTTTGATGAGGCGATGGAGACGTTGGGCTTGATATCGGGTGAGTAGTGCGGTATCCTTTTCAATCTGGAAAGTGACTTGGCCTCTTCTCCCGCCATCTATTTTCTTCCTGCCACTATTCAGTTTAGGCATGAAACACAGAACTAGATTGAAAGCATTCAATGGCCATTCAATCGGAGAAGAAAAGAGCCCCTCAGAGCTTTATTAGATATGAAGATCCACAATAAAAATCAATTTCTGCCTCTTTATGCAGTTTAAATGACAAAGCATCCACCCATTCTGCAGCCATTGTGCCTCGGAAATGTAATTCAGTGGTGGAGCAGAGACCAGAGCACCATGGACTCCCTGACCTGCACTGACAGATTCCAATATGATACAGACCTTCTCAGATAATGACAGCCACTTCATCTCGCAGTAGGGGGAAAAAAGTTATCTGATATCTTTGAGGGTTAAAAGGCTATGTGGGCAGCATTTTTAATAGTGCTCTAAATCAGCATTCTAAAAAATATTCCCCTTTCCTTTCCTGGATCTTGTTTGCCCTGCCAAATCTCACTTGTTCAATTTCCCTGGCCTCTTTTTGTCTCATATTCACTGATAACAGGACTAGCAACTAAGACTGGTGCTGTTGGGCTGCTGCTGAAGCCCACACCGCAGGAGCGGGCCTACTGTCATGACCCAGCCCACCTCTAATTACTGCTCCTTCTTTCTGTGCTGCTGCCTGCTTACCTCCTCCCTCTGTGGAGGAAAGCAAAGACAGGAGCAAGACAAAGCAATAGCAGCCTCGTCTCATGTTGGTTTCTCCCTCCAGGTGGTTACATAGAGTGGGCCCCAAGGGAGAGAGGATAAGCAAAGGGCTAGGACCACTGGTGGCATCATGTCCAAGGAGGTACCAAAACGGTATCAAATAGGATAAGCAGTGCAACACCTTTCCTACCTGAAAGGTAGGAAAGGAGGCTAGGATAGAATGTGGCCAGCTAGGATAGTATGTGGCTGGGGGGGGGGTGGGGGGAGGGGGGGGGGAGGGAGAAAGGGAGGGGAAAGTGGCTATGGGGGTTGGAGGGAAAAGGGAGAGAAAAAAGTAGGTAAAGAGAAAAAGGACTGAAGTAAATTTAAAAAGGGTAGCTTACAGGGGAACGTCCAACAAAGATATGATTAAAATAGAAAATGAAAGAAATGATCGGAAGAATCAGTAAATGGGCAGTAAAAGATCTCAATAATTGCTCTCGTGTTCCGAAACAGGTCCAACTGAAGTGGCGACAAAAAGGAATGGAGGGGACTTTCGTAGGGCGGAGCAGGCGCTCCACGGGGAAACGTCCTACTAATCACATGTCTTTAAGCTCTAGAAACCTCCGAGACGTCCTGCGCAGGTGCAGAACAGCCCAAATGGTGTGCCTTCACAGAGGCCACAAAGAAGAATCTGTGTCTTAGCCTCCATGCTTAGCAACCCTGGGCTCTCCCAGACTGCTCTGTCGCTCCCCAGTTTTGCTCCGTTCCTGGGTTCCTCCTGATACCCCTCTTGAGCAGCTCCTAGCTTTCGCTTCCTTGGGGAATCGCCTAGTTGGTTCTGCTCCTTTGAGCCACATGGCACGTATCTACACAGTGACTCACACCAGTTTGGCACCACTGTCACGGTGATGTACCTGGAAGTCCTTGCTAGGGACCTCCAAGCGCAGCCTCCTGAACCCCAGCAGAGGAGCCTTGGTATCTCACCAAACTACGAGTTCCACAGGACTGGAACCATAACAGCTAAAGTGGGATCAGCCTGAGGCAAACCTGTAGTGTAAGCACACCCATGGCTTCTTAGCCAACAGCCATAAAGTTCCTCTCTCCCTCCGTATGCACGTTATCACCCCTCCGGATCTGACCTGATGAGGCAAGTTGTGCAGCGTCTTCAGGAACGCTTACTTCCTACTTCCTCTCCCATTTCTCATCTTCTCAACTACCCTCCTTTCTCAACTTCTCTGTCTTTGATCAGCTCCCAAGACTATAAACTACTAAAACATGAATGAGTTGGTCTTTTCTCTCTCTCCGAGCAACTCAACATTCCATATCATCCCATCAACACAGAAGCTTTGCCATCACAAAACTGGAACAAAACAACCCATTTCTGTCCTTCATATCATGGTCCCCACCCTGGAAGCCCAGGTTGGTGCTGGAATACAGCTCCCATCATCCCTGGTTGCCATGGATCAGGAATGATGGGCATGAGGCTCCAAGGACATTTGGGGTTGAGCAGCCTTCCCCTTTCACAAGAGGGCAGCCTGTTACGATCTCTGCCTGTTACAAAAGGACTGGGCTGGTGGACAAGATGACCAGACAGGAACTCCTTGACTTGACTCAAGGCCTTGCGCTCAACAGCAAAAAAGTTCTCCTTCTGGCATAGAAAACCTGGCAAACACTATGACACTGAAGCACAGTGCTGTATACGTTGGCTGGGGTACCCAGACCTGCAACAACAAGTCAGGACTTAACCACCCCTGTAAGCTACAGGGAGCCTCAGATGCTCCAAAATCCTCTTGGGTAGACCCTTCCTCAGCACCATGGCTTAAATGGCCAGGGGGAACTATAAGGAGAGGGATGGTCTCGGCTTCTTAGCAGCTCCAGAGACACCAAAAGCATGGTGGCATGCTCCAGTTATGGTCCAGTGATTCTTTTGGGTTCTAACGATCCTATACCTCTGCCCCACAGGGCTCTGGAAGTGTTGGGGATGAGCTGAAGACCAGATGCACCCCATAGGGAAGAATAACCCACTCAGGCAGAACCCGCATCACCCTCTTCTTCCATCCGACAGATGTTGTGTGGCGGTGTGTAGGCCTGTGTTCGCACAAAGCAGAATGTGAATATAGCACCGTGGGTGCATTGAAGAGGATGGGGGATGAGGGTGGAAGAGATCTGTCAACCAAAGTCCCAAAGGCCTTGCCCTGGATGCTTGGAACACGTTCGCTCTCAACTGGTTCCAAGTTGGAAGACAGCAGAAACCAGCAGGAATGTCTCTGAACAGGGGTCGCTGAAGATATCTCTGGTGCTTGTCAGCACACACAAAACTGTATTAAGGTGGAAAAAAGCTCTTTCAAGAAGGGGACCTGTCAGAGGTACCACCCTCTCAATTCTCATCTTATTAGCAACTGGAGCTGTAGTTAATATTCACTGTAAACACACCAGGCATATGCGATAATAAGAGAACTGCTAGCAAGGAATGTGTCTCTGTGTGACTGTCTCAGTTGCTCACCATGAGCGCCGTTGGAAGGCAGCACTCTAAACCTCAATCCTCACAAGGCAGAGGCTTTCATGATGTGAATTCTCAAAGGGGTCCCACTGAAGAATTGCTTCCTTTCTGGAGCTAACGAAGCCTACCATTTGGGCTCTGCCCCTAATTGCGTGGGAGGGACAGACAGAGAAACAGAGAAAGAGAGAAAGAGAGACAGACAGACAGACAGACAGACAGACAGACAGACGTCATGAGCACTGCTTTTAACAAAGCTAGTTGGGATTAAGGTCTGGGAACCTTAGACTCCTAGAATCATGGAGTTGGAAGGGGCCTCTGAGGCCATCCAGTCCAACCCCCTGCTCAAGGAAGGAACCCAAATCAAATCAGATCTGATCAATGGCTGTCCATTTTCTTCTACAAGGCCTCCACTGATGGAGCGCTCACCTCCTTGTTCCAACCACAGTTGCAAATGCTGGTTTATTGTGATGTATGGTTAATCTTAACACTGATGCATATATAAGACTCACCGTAGTTAGTGGGGGTGGGAATGGAAGACAGAAAGAAGATGAGGAAAAGAGTGCACAGAACACCATACAACCAATCCTATGAGGCAGGGTTTTTTTTCCAGCCGCAGTGCAGAGGGGTCTTTAGGTCAAAATGTTTAATTCAGAATACGCATGAATAAGTAAACTACAGGTCTCTGGCCTGTCTTACCTTGAAGTCTTCCGGGAGCAGCAGTTTCGATGTTCTTAAGAAGCTTAAGATGTATCTGAAAATTTCACCATCCCGGTCAATAAAATAGTGCTGTTTTAAACTGTCCAAGACTATAGGTTCTGTGCCATTAAACAGACGGCTTATTCTGGGAGGAGGAGACAAAAAAATAAAGGAAAAAAGGATGGCAGAAAGTGGCGTGGAGGGAGACACAAGCTTACAAAGAATCTCAGCAGGAGCAGGAGAAGCTCAGCGGCTTTGTCTTCGCTGCTTCCTCAGCAGCACAGGGCCCCAGTGAAGCTCTGCAGCAGCGGCAGAAGAAGAAGCCAGTGGAAACTAACCAGGTCCAAACTGCACCCGAACCCATGCCCAACAAGAGTCTTGAGCCCCTTCGCCCCGGTCAACATCCGACAGTCCAACGGGCAGTAATTCAGGGCCTTGACTCAAGGAAACCAAACCAAGTGAGCTGACAAGGAAAGGGGTCAACTTGGTGTCCAGTCAACAGGGCTTATTTCTCTGTCTCTCTGGACAAGCTTCTCGTGCACTTGGTTTCCTCAAACGGTGCAAGGGTACAACCTGAGGTGTGTGTGAAAGGACTGGCCCAGCCCTGGGTTTGCGGTGGCACATGGATGCCACACAAGTCCGCCTTAATGATGTTGGGAGAGTCAAGGCTCCTTTTCTTGTGGGGACCAGTTTTTGTGCGCAGGGCGCCACAAGAGAACCACAACTGTAAAGAGCTGCTGTCCCAAAACCACGCTCAGAAACACTGCCATATCTAGCCTCCTGTGATACAACACGTCTCAAACCTTAAGCATCTCTTAAGACCACCGTGTTTTTGCTGCAGAAAGACACACACACCCCCACCACACACACACTCTCTCTTCCCTCCTAACTTGTTTGCATCTCCCAGGAACCAAAAAGTTCCCACCAGACCGTCTGGCGTGATATTTGGCTCAGGTGGTTTGGGGACAGCCTCTTGCCACCCTCGCGCGGAGCCCGGCTCGGGAAGACTCCGTTTGATGTCACATTGTCTCTCCCACTTCATGTATAATTTTCTTTCTGCTATCACTCCTAAATCTGGCGTTTCCAGTTCCTTCTAATTTAGCACTCATCTGCAGATTTCATTAATGTGCCATCTACTCTCTTCTGGATTAATTACAGAGATATTTAGTATTGCTGGAGTTCCGACAATTCCCAGATGAAGGCCCAGTGCCCAAACTGGAATGCAGGGTTAGGCTCTTTCCTCACCTTTGGCTCCTGGTCCACCAGCCCCCCAACAGATAAGTACACACAGTGAGTCATTTGGGATTCAAATTAATTAGGAAACACATTAACAAACCCACATATTTCTGTCCCCGCCCTTATTACTAATTATGAAACCGAACATGAAAAAAAATATATATATATTTTAAAAAGCAATATTTTCTTCTATTAATGGGGGGACTCTGGATCGGTGAGCCCCTTTACGCTCTGTAGCTGCCACACCAGTGAGCGTGGAGGTTCTCCTGTGTCCACACTTCCAGGAACAGAGGCAAACTAGAGTGTCTAACGCACAGAGGATTTTAAAGACATGAATTCTACCCATCTATGGGAAACGCTGGTATGTCTTGAGCAAGACATTACCCTTATTTTCTTGCAATGACTTGCTTTCAGCTTGACCCTTCAGATCAGAGGCAGTCTGGGCCACTGATCGTCAGGGAAACATCCCTTGATCATTGAATCTAAGTGAAAACAAAACAGTTGATTCAGAGAAGGTGTTTTTCTCTGATGTCTTGAGTTGACATTGAATGTACCTATGCTACGGTCTGATAGCTATTTCATCTCATTTTAATTGCCACGATTCCATCCACTGGCACTCATAAGTTAGCTGGTACTTTAGTATACTTAGCATTCTCTACTTTATTTCAGGGGAAATGTTATGTGCCTCAGCAAACGTCAGATCCCAGGATTCTGTCGGATGGGGACGAAGCCGTTGGTGTGGGATCAGTTGGAAATGCATCGGGTAGATAGCAGTATTGCCAAAATAATTATATTCACAACCAGGAGAACGAATCAGCAACAGAAAGGAATTTGGCCAAGCAGCTCATGGACCTATCTTAATATTAATTAATATAAAGGGACCTTCCCACTACTCTGTTCAATTTTCAGCCATGAAATAAAGATAAAGAAAACAGCCGATTCCCACCAAATCCACAAATATAAAATAAAAATAATAACAATAGAAAAGGACAACAGATGGAAAAAGCAAGATGGCAGCAACAGACAAACTACTGACGAGAGAGTATAATGGATGGGCCTCTGTGAATCCACACAACCATTACAGACTTAAGTGACCAACCATTATGAAGGAAGCATATCCTGAAACGCCTCTCTAAAGAGCAGAGGTTTGCAGACGCTTCCTGAGTATTAGGAGGGAAGGAGTCGGCTGCACACCTCCTACAGGTAGAGCTCACGAAGCATCCCTAAAGCCTCTGTTTTGCATTTCCTGTTTTTAGCAATCTTGTCTTAGATCACAGGAGTTAGAAAATGCTTTGCAGGGTGGAGGGTTAATTCCACAGTGGCTCAATGTGCAACGACGGGAACTGGAATTCCACTGGCACTACAACTCTGGGTTAAAACCGGAATCAATTAGCGGGGGATATACTGATAAGGCCTGGGCTCAATCTTGTACTGTATTAATTGAGCAACCTTGCAACTTTGAGAACATCCAGAGTGGCGATGAAAGGAGATTAGGATTTTTGCAGGAACTCCCATAAAGTTACAGCTTTCAGGACGAATGTGGGCGAAGGGGTTTGTCGGCACTCCTGGCCTGTCTTTTCCTGCCTGCTTGTGAGGCTGATCCGCAGATACTGCATCTCTTTTCTGCGATTTTCCTTTGCCTTCCTGTTTAAGGCAACTTAAGGCCTTTCCGCACCCCACCCTCGACCAGATGTAGGGCAACATCGCTTTGCCAGAGAGGGCAAAGCCACTTCTTTCCTTGCAAGGGCTCATAGGCGGAAGCTTCTCGGGCCACGCCTGATGAACTGCAAAGGGCGACAAAATGATATCTCAGGCCTGGGGTGCCCCATCATCTTGAACGTCATTTCCTCAGTGGCATGTTTGCTGTGAGGCAGAAAGCCCTCACACATTGCTGAGCTGACGAACTAAGGAAAAGCCAAAAAAAAATAAAAAAAAAATCCCCCTATTTATTACAAATCTTGACCAAGAAACAAACAAACAAACAAAAAACCCCTATTTATTACAAATCTTGACCAATGCTAAGCATTTTCTCCGTGCTTATGTAACTGCTATGAAATACTGGTCCAGCCCAAATGGGTAGGACTAAAGAAAGAGCAGGGCTGTAAGTAAGAGATTTTAATCAGAAAGAGCAGGACAGCTAATCACAATGCATTAAAGAATGTCATTAGCCAATTCAGAAGGACACGTCCTCATACTCTTCCACCAAACAACAAACCAACACCAAACCAAGTGAGAATAGGCGTCATCTGCATTTCTGAGCAGAGTGCCTTTCCCAATCTGTGAACCGTGCAATCCAAGTGAAGGGACATGGGTTCAAGACAAAGAAGAGAAAGAAACACCTCGCGGACAAGTGATACATCTGTGACAACTCACTGCCACAGTAGTGACATCCATGAAAGTTCGACAACTCAATAGCAGCTGGCCTTGTAGGCTTCCGAATGGGAGCGAGCGAAAACTTTCATTCCATCCCTCTTTCTGAAATGTGCCCAGGAAAGAACTTGAGTTTCTTAGGTTCTTATCACTTCAATTGCATTCTTTTAATTGTACGGTGGTCCCACTCCCACCTCCTTCTCCAAGACCTTTCAGGGCCAAACTAGATGATTCAGGGAGCATGTGTTTAGGCTCAGCACTTCCTCACGTGGTGAATGTCTGCTTTCACTCCATTCTTTGCCTTGTATTCAAGCGCCCACAATTGGTCACTGGATAGTAAACAGCCAGACTCAAAATGTTTTCAGCTGAAAGGTAGCATGCCCCCCCCATTTCTGATGCCTAGTTACCAAGCACTTGATGAGCAATCGTGTAGACAGTTGTAAACAATAACCACAACTCTGTATCTGGAAGCTCTTTCTCTCCAAGAAGCTTATCTATGTCCAGAAGTATCACTGGGCAACTGTAGAGTTGTACGGTGTTTTTAATTCTATGAAAAAAAAGCGAAGGAAGGAGCTAGAGGAATAGCTCTCCTGGACTTCTGTAACGAAGAGGGATGACTCAGTGAAAGAAGTGGCAGTAAGGGGAATTTTTTTTTGGGGGGGGAAGTGACTGTGTTTTACTTGAGTTCTTGATTTCAAAGGCAATGAAAGCAGTCCAGAGGAGGGCACTGAGGATAATCAGCCAGGCCCTCTGAGGAAAGACTGAAAGGAGTGAGCAAGTTTAGCCTTGAGAAAAGAAGACTGAGGGGAGACACGACAACACTTTTCAAAGACTTCAAAGGTAGTCCTACAGAGTTGGGGCAGGATCTGTTCTCCATCATCTCATGGTGCAGGACGTATAATAATGGGCTCAAGGTACAGGAAGTCAGATTCTGACTGAACATCAGGAAAAACTTCTCAACTGTTAAAGCAGTACGACAATGGAAGCCATGGCCTCAGGAGGTGGTGAGCGCTCCAACCCTGGAGGCAGTCAAGACAACCACCTGGCAGATAAGACTTTGACTTGGATTCTTGCGGTGATCATCTTAAAGGCCCCATTCAACTCAATTATTCTATGCTTCTATGATATATATTCTATAGTTCTAGCCCTTACTGGACATGACATGTTTGACAGTGTGCTTACAACAGTGGTCCTCAACCTTGGGCCTCCAGATGTTCTTGGACTACAACTTCCAGAAACCTTCACCACCATTTCTGCTGGCCAGGATTTCTGGGAGTTTAAGTCCAAGAACATCTGGAGGCCCCAAGATTGGGGACCACTGGCTTACAACACCTGCTGAAGTCCAAGAAACAAGAGATGGGTCCAAGACAAATAATTAATGGCATCGTTGATTTTTAATCTTACTTCTATCTTGCCTTTCTCCAAGTTCAGGGACCTGCGGTCTTCCTTCCCTTCATGCCCAAGAGTGGCAAAAATGGGACAGATATATAAATAACACAAGCTGTAGGACACACAGCTACTACGTTAGCCTTTTTAATA